CAAACTAGAAACAGCCAAAGCTTCTTCTTAATTCTTCTCATTGTGTGGTTTTTCTCAGACTCTTTCCAAATAGCAGATCATGTACTTACTTCTAAAGACTAATCTTGCCCATCTCGTTTCCTTATCTTGAAATTGCTTATCCTTCCAACCTCTCTCCATGTTTCCTACCAAAAATTGTTATCAGATAATCCTTTGCTTTCTATAACAGGATAGTTAAACCAAGGATTGAAGATGAACCCGTTATCTATGCTTATATAATTGGCATCTACGCTTATTTGTTGACAAAGTTTTACTGGTGATTTCGCATGTTTTTCCTACGACGTTTAGAGACCGGGATACACATAAAAGTTTTTTAACAGCCCTATCCGGTCGTGTAATTATTGAGAAAGAGGGTAATCGAAGGAATGTAATCAGAGTTTGGAACGAAAGCCAATTCAGAGAAAAACAAAAGCAGAACTAGGGCCATAGAGCAGCGAGGAACTCACAATTTTGAGCTAATCAAAGCTTACTGTTCAGAGAAGAAAATTATGATTATGTCTTACTTGCATTACCCTAAACTCTTCTGACGTCTTTGTAATTAACAGACGTATTACCAACTTGACTATGTAAAAAAGAAGAAAAAATTTTCAGTGCTGAGAACTGCATTAGAAGTCTTGCTGAGTGTTTGGGGCTTCATATCAAGCACACCAGAGCCAGGATGTCTGGGGGGGGGGGCTATAGCCCCTTTGATTTTGCTGAGCTATGATTTTCAGGTAGTTGCATCAAAGATAATGGGAGAACAATTACAATGAAAGTTTGCTAATTTGCCCAGCGAAATCTGCATATCCACTTTATAACTTGGAATAAAGACATTTGAGCAATGATTTTGGAAAATCTAGAATTTCGATTTTTTGAAGATTAAATACATGCTTTTAAGCCAATATTTGCAGCAGGTTGGCAAATTCAGAGATAAACTGTCTAACATCAGAATTCTGTGCTAACATCAGAGCTGTCTCGCACCCTTTTTAGTCGGTTTTCTCTGTGACTGTACTTTTTCGGTAAGCCATATATAATTAATACAAATCTGTTACAAAATACTTCATTATTATCTTCATATCATCAGCGTTCAACAAGCGCATAGCAACATTTCGCAGCTTATCCTGTATTTTTTCAAACCAGACATTTTAATGTGACGCCGCGGATTCACCAAGCGGAGAGCATACCTTTTAATGATTCGTTAATAACGATAAGTGTCGCCTACCTCCTACCTTTACTTAAAGTATTAACGACTGTTATTTAAGTAACGGCAAACGTTAAGTAGAGGGTTTAGAGTCGTACACCTCCAATCTCAAATGATATTTCTTGTAAATTGCTGATTCCTGCTGCTGTTAGAAATTACCGAAAGCTCTCCGAAGTAAGGCACAAATCCACAATGCTACCTAAGTTCCGACCATTTCAATCAATGAATGAAATTTAGACTCAACATAAACGTCAAAATGATATTAAATGAATGTTATTCATGGCATCTATGTAATAGACGATTAAATTTCTACCTTCTGCTGCTCAAATCAATTCGAATTACGGAACAGTTTGCTTTGAAAATAGTAAAAACTAATAGAAAACCACTCTGGATTACTTCGGGGGGTGGTTATAGAAAAGAGGTATCCCGGTGCAAAATTAGTTTTCTCATTCATGCCAGCCACCAAGTTTGCCGAGTAAGTAGCAAATAATGCCGAGTCTGCCGAATATATGGCTTTTTCGTGATTTTCGGGGCTGTTTCCAGCTCCCCAATTTCTCACACCCATGTCACTGCCACTTGATTTCTTGATGCTACGATTTAACTAATGTTAGACCATTCCATGGCAACTGATTTGAATCGGCAAGACGTAGAAAAGCTGCTTGATAGGGTAAATGGATTTTCTCCTTTCTTTTGGAAGTTTCCGACAATCAAAGCATTTCTGTGAACAGTTATGGTCTCTTGTTAAATGCTGGTTGAGAATGAGAAAGGGATTGAGCAAAGTTCTAGAGAACAGTTAATGAAGATAATAGCATAATGGCGGCACGTTTAGTTGTTTGCTTTTGCGCACCAGAATGGTATTGCAGACCTTATACTATTCTGAAGAGATATACAACATGCCTCAAGGCCTTGCATTTTTCAATGACCCGTACTTTGTTCATAATGTCATACATGCATTACCTCGTATTTATAAAGAGGCTACAATGCAACATCCAGTTGTTTAATCAGCACCGCCCCATTGGCGAACGTTCCTGTTTAATCTGTCATGTTTGTGCATCAGCCTTAAATACCGCTATCACATTGGCGCAGAAAGAAGGAAAGCTTTTGCCATTTACATCGTGGGAATAAGCCTCAATATATGAGCTTTGTGACCGTTAGATGCCCCATGATTATGTCACGAAGGTCACCGTTAACAAAAGTTGGCTTTGTTAAAAGCGTTTAGGCCCTAATCTTAGAAGTAGGAACGGATTCTCTCTTCACTTCAATGGTGCCGTATTTAATTCGCTTTTTAGATTCTTAGCAAAAACTTTTCGGAAAAATGAATTGTTAATTGTTTGTCTTTAATTCTGACTTCTATAGTAAAAGATGAAATGGCAAGTTGTGTTGTATTTTGCTTTGTTCAAATTTCAATATTCGCGTGAACGCAAGGATGCAAAAATGCTGAATAGTTGGTCTTTTTTCTACTTACTTTCTAATGCATTGGTGGCAAAACATTACCTTTCGAGATGCTTGAAACATCTCCAATTGGATTTGACTTATCAAGGGCTGGGTTTTGATCTTGGAATGAAATTTAGGTGTCTAAATTGCAAACTGGCCTCTCTTCCGATTTGTTTTGTATCTCCGCCAGCCTCTGTTCTAGAATTTTTTCACGGTCTCTATTGGTTAATCTTACTTTCTTAACCTCTATTCATAAAGCAAATGAGTCAGAAATAATTACACGGGTTTTGATAAGAAGCGTGTTTAAGGAGTGCCCTTGTCACTCCCTTTCCTGAATATGTTTAAAATAATTTCCAGTGATATCAATGTTCTTTGTAAAATCTGTATGTATCATTGTTTCCAAAAAGTCGAATTTTTACATCCTTCCTGTAAATGGATTACATTCTATTAACTCAAGTAACTAGCTGAAATCCAAAACGAATCTTTTACTTATCATTTGAAAAGTGAAATCATATTGCGTTTTCAAATACTAACTTATTTGTCTCGCAAAGAAACAGTTGTGAGAAATACTTTATTTAGGATTTTTAAAGACTCCGCAGAAAGGCATCAGAGGCCTACTACAATTTAGCAATTTTTTCCTTTTTTTCATTTCAACATTTTTTAGCAGTTTTTTCAAAATTCTATTAATAAAAAAACAAAAAATTTAACGGTTCAGTCACATAAAAAGTTGTCTGTTGGAAGATATTCTATTTTTCTTGCAGAACAAACCATGGTAGTTCCACAGAAAGATCTGAAAAGTTTTCTGAATAGGATTAAATTCCCGTGACTTGTATTCTAGTTCGCAAACATAAGGAATTGTACTACAAATTTGCAGGTCCGTCAAAAGTAGGGTAGGGAGGCTAGGGGGCTGTAGCCCTCCCCAATAATTGTCAAACTGTAGCATATTTCCTTAATAACAGTGTATTGAATGGGAAGCAATACAATTGGCAGCCCTCTCAATACCAATTTCGTTTCGTACGTACGAGCATGGCAACGGTAGCTCCCATTCATTTAACTTTGTTATCAACACTTAACTATTTTAGAAATAATGGCCCATGATGTAATTTCTACCAGAATTTGTGAACTAAAAATATGTTGTTGTATCAACTAGAAAATGGCAAGTTCTACTCAAAAATATAATTTCACTTGATGACTTGATGGCCATTTATGGCAGGTAAAATTGCACAGATTTAGTTTCACTTTATTTTATTTCCAAATACGGAGCTAAGCGATGATTCAGAAACCACAAAAATTGACGTGTCACAAAAACGTTTTCTTCTTATGCATCGCTTTCGATTTGATCAAGCCCTATCTTGTAGGGCGTTACCATAACTTTGAATTGACAACCAATACTTACAAATTATATGACTGTTGATGGACTTCCGCTGAAAACCGAAAATTTTCTGTGTATGTTACAAATGACCTAATCTGGAGGGGGTAGAAAGTAAGAATTCTTCAAAAATTCTCAAAAATTGCTCATAACCAACTTCAGAAGTCTATTTTAATAAAATATAAAAAGAACACAGTATAGAATATGTTTTGATTGGATTATAGTTCAGTAAGACTTGAATGTCTTGAGAAAAATCAGTTCTACTCTTTGCAGCAGTATAATCAAAAATACAGAAACTGGCGTACCGGAGCTGCCGACCCTTGTTTCTTTAAATAGCTATTGCCTGTCCTAAAATATTGACCCCTCCCCGTTATTGTCACTTTAACAGCTCGATGCAAACACATTCTGTTCTTGGCAGCTCAGAGGCACTTTTACAATTAATGCCAAAGCCCCGCGACAGTGCTTCTAACCCCATATTTCAATTCCAAAACGTCAATTTACTGCAATTTACTGTAATTTCAGTGGAGCCACTTACCGGGTATCTATGACGTCAGGTCTTTCTTCCTTCTTAATTCAAAGAACAATAGTCTACCGGAATATCTTCCGCATTTCATCTTTACCAAAAATTCTTCAACCCTTTGAAGTCAAAAACATCATGATAGACCTCGTTACAGTATCTACCCAATGTTAGGGTTTCTAACAACGAGGCTTCTGCTTGGGTCCTAAAGAATAGCGAGTTATTGTCTTTGCATTCTGTGCGTTTATCATCTTCTTTTGTCTTGGTCAGCATTCCTTCTATATAAGCTGGTTTGTGAACATTTCCGTAATTAACTCGCTCTAACCTCGCAGAGCGCAACACACATGAAATACGATAACCGCGGCAGACATTGGCAAGCGTTGTTTTCGAACTGAGGCAGCTTTGGATGTCATTGTGAGAGATATATTTACATTTGGTTAAAAGTTTGTTTTTCTCTTCAGATCTGGCATGTTAAAGATGGGAGCTTTTACATTGCTAACGTGTTTGAATGTGCTATTCGTTATCATCACCCAGGTACGTTTTTTTCAAATCGCATTGTAGATTTATTTCTAACCGAAATTGAGTTTCTACCTTATTTTGTCTTGGCATTCTTCGAGAGCCCAATCAATTGACCCCCATCTTTCGTAAAGACAGAACCTTCAATGAGAATTATTAATACCTAAAACCAGAATTAAAACAGTAAATTCTCAATTAAATCCCGGTTGCTTTCACCGCACACTGATTTGAAGGTCTCCTAATTCCATTTTGTGTGCTTGGTAAGGAAATTTGAATCGCACCGATCCCAAATTTTTTGTTGACGTGCTGTCAAACAATGTTCAAGCCGAGGAATGCCATTCAACTTCTTATCTCTGTAAGTCTGTGTAGATTCGGTGTAAACAGTGAAGTTTTCAGATGTTTTTCGAATATAACATATTTCCATGCTTGCTCCCTTTTCGAATGATCGATTCAATCATATCTTGTTCGATTTGCTAGCAGAATGTCCAATACAAAGTTTTTGAAATTCCCCTGCCTGTTTAAAATTTTTAGTCCGACTGCTCATCCCAACAAAGTGGAACAATTGAATGCTCTGTTATAGCCTTTCAACACCGCCCCTTGACTGCATTTTTTGGCATTTTGGATTAAAACGAAGTTGCACAAGGTTGCTTTTGTCAAACATTTATGTCGACCGTAGAAAGAAATGCTTACGCAAACCATTAATAATCTACTATGATTCATTTGCAAATTCTAGTATTTATTTTTAAAGTTTTGGGGGCTCTCGATTCGTGGATTTATTTTGATAAAAGCAATAGTACTCGCAAACAATTTAATTTCAACTATATTTAAAATCAATTATATTTAACCCCGAAGGCAAAAATCAGATGAATTTCTAAAATATTTGTATTGCACCAAACAAACCTCGAGCCTGTTTAAATAATTTACCAGTCAATAACATTTGTGATATTTTCGTAAAATATCTTCATGTGCTTCAAAATTCCCAATTTCCTGATTAAAGCCAACTTTGCCCTTTATAACTATAATGTTCAGTCGATGAATTACATTTGATAAATCTGTGTACAATTTGTAGGAGCTTAGAAAGAACCACATTATTTGAAAGTTTTAAGTTCGGTCAACCTCTCCACTGAACGTATTGGGAAAACAACATTCGATACCTAGACAAATCACGTGACAATGTAAAGTTACCCGCTGTGACCTCTGCCTGAACGAAATTCCATATTGAACAATTTTTATTAGTAAATCAAACGTTCTGTCAATATGTTGCCAAAAGATACCCTCTTTCTAGAAAAACCGTCGAGTTTGGTTTACCTTCGAACCCCAGCTCCCAACCGCTCCCATGCAGTGCTCATTCAACCCTTTATCCAGTTTTTCAGCCCTTTGGTTGCGTTCCAGGGCAATTCCTAAACCCGAAATTAATGATTTATTGAATAACACGAAGAATTTGCTTTATGAATTATATAATATAGGATCAGTTGAACTTAAATCAAGGAAGGCTTGAGTTGACAAAGCTTTTTCTTGACATTTTTCCAGCGTAATTGCGGTTTTACGCTGAAAGGATCTTTTAGTGGCCTATCTTGGTATTTCATTCATACTACAGTACTACAGAAAGTAGACCGCGAAAGAACCGCTGCGACCAAGCTCGTTGCTTTCTCAATGGGATTTTTCGAATGATTCTTGTCAAAAAACTTTAATTGAAAACGTCTTTGTTTGGCAAGTAAAAGTGTTCCAAAATTGAAAGTAGAAAGCATTATAAAGTTTTTGATGCTGGCAAAAACCGATAATTTTCTTGAAAACAGGACCTTGTCATCAAGGGTTACGCCCATTTTCACAGTCTGGGGTTAGAAAAGAATTTATCGTTTTCGGAGTTTTGAAAAATTTAGAGAGCCTTGTCGTCAACTTTGTTTCTGCTGTGTACACTGGTTTGTCTTGGCAATTACAACATTAGTATAAATTCAAGCAGCATCTCTTCTATATCAAACTAAGTCAAAGTAGTACAGTTCATGTGGATCCTCATTGAATCTTTATCTTAATCCTATACAATATCTCTAGTCCTTCATGTAAGGCAGCAAGCAGGATGTATTAGGTCTAAGCTCCCAGTTCAGCACCAAAAATCGTATTGTTTTCGGGTGGCAGACTGTTAGAGCTCTTAATTTCGTGGCCTTAGTCGTGAATCCCGTTAGCCAAGACTTCACTGCAAGATGGCCACAACAACTCGATTTAAAAACGGAAATAATACGAAGTACTAATGGTTTCCCCATCCAATTATCGCAAGACCAGACAAAACGCATGTAGAAATTGGATTCCTCTTTAAAAATCTCTAGTAAATATGACTTCAGTCATGCTGTAGTAAAAGACGAGTCACGGCAATATTAGGAAAGCTGATTACCTAGCTCTTGTGCATATTTCAGCCCTGGATGGCCGAAACAACCGGGTCACAAATTGTATTATTTTCCTCATTGGATTCGTACCGAGGGCGGGTAAATCCAGTTCGGAAACTGAAGCTTAGGATCCGTCTCTGGGAAGGTCTATGCACGAATATCCCCGTCTGCACTTACCATTATGGAAGCAAGATTGTGTTACTCATTGTGAAGACTGCCCCTTCCAACTTTCCCTTCCGTTCGACGAGCCTTCTAGCAATTGATTGTTTCCAGTAAGGGAAATACTTCAAACAAATTTCTGCAATTTTGACCAATTAGAATATTGTCATATGTATTATATTTGGGTAGGGTGGAAATACAAGGATTGGTATGGTATTCGGAATGAGAACCCCACGGTATGGATTATGAAGGGGCCCGTGAAAGTGCAATGTCTACATAGGGTGATAAGCAAGCTAGATTTGCCCTGTGACCTTGCCCTGAGACAAAATGATTTTTGTGCTATATTCATCTCTCTAGCCCGGTGACGTTAATTTTACATTTTACATACTTCTACGGTGTAATTGCAAAAGGACTTGCTTTGTCTCAAAAATCAATCAACTTCATTGTGCTTGTTCAAAGAAGTGGGGTTGCCTCTTCTTTTCTTCACCCTACAAAATTACTCATCACACGTTATACACAAGGTATTCATCAACAGAATCTATAATTTCCAGGTTTTTAACTGCTCGAGAAAGGTATTTCAAACTTTGGTTTCCAAACTAAGAAAAATGTGACTGCCTTGGCTTTCTCAGAATTTCCAAATTCCAAGAACTTGCGCATACTCGAAAGCTTTACCCCTTTGTTTGCATAACTGGGTGCCAGGCTCGTACCAATTAGTATTGCTGCTGGTAACCCCGAACCCCTCATAATCCAGTCTGGCTGGCAACTTTTTCACTTTTACCAGTGACATCCAGTCTGGTTGTGAACCAGTGACACCGTTCATAAAACGAAATGGCATACGTCTAAAGCAGCTTGTGCTCCCTGCCCACTGTGTTTGCCGAAATGACAAGAACAGAATTCGAGCCCTCTTTGGAATTTACGAACTAATAAAACTCATACTTTATTATAGTAATCCATTAATTTTGATTTCATTGATGATTCTTTTTCTATTTTTAGAGAGCTTAATCAATTCCTTTTTGCCTTTATCTTCGAGTTGGTTTAACAAGTAATCTCTGATCTCGGTTACAAAGTACAAAATCTTGTTACCTTGAACTTCCAAACAAGGGTATGAATAAACAGGGATTTGATAAGTGTTTGACATTTGCGGGAAAATCGGATGATCGTAACCTTCTGCGGCGTTGCACTCAGTATTTCTATATAAAGATAATAACGAAACAATCGAGACCCCTAAACTCTTGAACATTTTAATCAGGGGGATTTTTCTTCTTCAAAATACTTAGTTGAAAGATTGAAATCCCTAACTGGTTTATTGAGGCTTAGGATTCGAATTGAGGCTTTTTAGCTCACTAGAACATTCAATATCTGGTTAATACACGCTTACCCTACTCAAATGCACCCACCCTGCTCTCGGCGTCTTTGACATCAGTTCTGCCAGTATTGTCGTTGGTGAATCTCGTTTTCATTCCACCTTTGCGGCTAACGTTAGATCCCAGTTTGTTATGCTTTGGTCCTTGAGCTATCCATAGATAGGCATTGTATCATCAAGCGAAAGTTTTCTAACTATAGCAAAAGGCGTATTTAATGCAGGTTGACCATTTCCTCGGCTGTTCCATTTACATTGCAACATTATTTGATAACCTAGCCTCGTTAATGTAAACATCCCTCGTGAGCGTTTTGTATCCTTTACAAGCAGGAAGCAACCACATTATGTATCTTCTTAATTAAAAATCTTGTCGCTGATTAAAATCCTACCATAATCAAACTATTTTCTTGTTTGCATTTTTGTCAATTTTGGTCTTATCGTCATTTGTTTAATTACTTGAGCCTCTAAAGCAGTTTGTCCTGCTACCTCTCTTCATTTTTCACTGCAAACCAAAATTCGTCTCTTTAGTAACCAAAAAACGGATGTATCGGTTCAACGGGAAATTCAAACTGCCTCTTAATGGACTACTAATTAGCCAAAATTGAAATTATCCCATTTTAGTGATATATGGAAAACCGATAATTAGATGGATGTATGCCTTCCTCGGGCTAAGATTTTGTTTCAAGTAAGACCGTCTTACTTAATTCCTTCCTTTTTCTAGTCTTTTTTTTCTTCCTGTCTTTCATTTTCTTTTGTATCGTATACCTTATTATCTATTCTCAACAGTATTTTCTCTTTTAACTATCATCAAGGCCATCGTTTGCCAGAATAAACTTGCATCTATCGAGGTATGATAAACGATACGCCGTTTTACGTTTTCCAATTTCTGAAATTGCGCTTACACAACTGGGCATCACCCTCAATTGGTTTGAGGCGTTAAGAATAGGCCTAACACTACTCAGTTGCTGGTGTATTTGCCTTCCTAGCAGTGCATTTATGATTCCTTATAGTTCTAAAATTCCCTGGAGAAAGTATGTATTTTGGTAACGAGGTAGATTGTGCAAATCCAGTGGACAGGCAAGAAGATGAAGTCGATCAAAGTTATATACTCACTGCTAACT